ATTAAAATCCTGTGTCTTTTTTTGTCTTATTTTGTGTATGTGTTCAATAGCAAAACATCAGAAAAACAAACGGAGCAAAACAAAATTCTAAAAAGAGCCTACTGCAGGTGTCAGGGACTATGGTAAGTCACATGGCCCGTTTTCTGGGGCGGAGAGGTTGTGCTGGTTTCGGGTTTCCCAGTGCCTCCAACTGGCCATCCTTGGGTTATGGTGGTTGTGACACAGTCTCTTCCGTTCTTTACTAAATGCTGCACTCATTCTACTTGACCTCTCCTCTCTCCTCCACATCCATGAAGAGAGTGTGAAGATTTAAAAAAAAAAAATGTTCTCTCTCCTTTCTTTCTCCCCTATCCCACTCTTCTCTTTCCTCACTAATCTCTCCAGTGAACCCTCTGGGCTAAAGGAATTCTATTGAAGGAACACTTCTATAGACACCCAGATGACTTCATCTCAATGAAGTGGTCTGGGTGCAGTGGACCTGTCATTTTTGTCCTGGAATGTAAAACACTGCTGTTTTGAAGATAAAGTAATGTTTACATTGCAGGGCTAAAAACAACTCTAGTGGCTGTCTTCCTGGCAGACACTAGAGGGTGCTCTAGCTCCTACAACTCAGTTTTGTGATGTTCAATGTTCTAACAGAGGAATATGCAACCTTCAGCACTCCAGATGTTTTGGACTACACCTTCCATGATGCTTTGCCAGCATTATGATTGTAAGAGCATCGTGGAAGATGTAGTCCACAACATCTGGCGTGCCAAATGTTGCCTACCCCTGTTAAATCTAACATATTACATGAGGATGTTGCACTTCCTCTGATGCTTATTACAGAGTATTGTTTTAAATGCTTCAATACAAGAAGCATTTGATTGGAGAAATGCAGCTCTTGCCGCCCATGAACTTTCTGTCCCCAATGCTTCTCTGTGAGAGGCATTGGATTAGACGAGAAGACAAAGAGGTTTGTATTTCCAATGCTACAGTGTTCCTTTAAGACACGAAGGGTTCAACTGAGCAATCAGATAATGGATGAGATACATAGTATACAAGCATGCTACTGAGACTGGGCCCTAGGCAGCCATCTAACCCCGGAGAATATGTCGATTAAATAATTAGAGTGGATACATTTTAGTGAGGGATGTATTCTTAAATGTATTCAGCAATAAATCTAAATGCATGTAGCTCGTCTTTTCCCTCTTCGATCCCACCCAAGTTACCAAGTCTAGAAAAGGAAGAGCTAATGATATATGAATTAATAAAATATAAATAGGAAATACCTTGCACTGTAGCCAGTGACTCATGAAAAGGCTTTTCGATAAGGGAATACAATTCTAAGCCAAACAATTTTTAAACACGAGGAAAATCTGTCAGGAACATAATCTCCACGGTACAGAACCAATCTTACAATCACAAACAACACAATAGATTTAAAGAAACTCTTCACACTTTAAGTAGCTCTATGGAAACTAATTATGAGATTGGATAAAAAAAATTAATACAATGTTAGACTATAGTAACTAAGGAACTTCATGGGACTTGGAAAGACAAGGTGTCTGCAATAGAGAGGCAATTATAGCTGCATATTCCCCAGTACTAGTATAAATAATAACATATTTAATCAGATTTAAAATGGCTAATGATTATGAAACTACTAACTTGACCGCCTCAGACTTTGAAACTCACTTCACTGACAAGATCTCTACAATCAGGGAAGAGATCTCTCATATTTCTTCCTCCCCTTACAATACTTCCCCTAACTTCACTCCCTTTGCTGTTCTATGTTCATTCTACAGTGGAAAAGGTTTCTGCTCTGCTCCAGTCCTCCCGCCCCACCACCTGCTTCCTAGATCCAATTCCCTTGCATCTCATCCGTACTCTGTCTTCTTCTCTTTCTCCACCTCTCACTAAAATTCTCAATCTATCTCTCTCCTCTGGCATATTTCCATCGCCCTTAAAACATGCAACTGTAAACCCAATTCTAAAGAAGCCCAACCTTGACCCTAACTCCCCATCCAATTACCGTCTTATCTCGCTACTGCCTTTTGAATCCAAGATCCTTCAAAGAGTCGTGTATGCGAGATTGACAGACTTCCTCGAGTGCAATTCTCTGCTAGACCCGCTTCAGTCTAGTTTACGCGCTAATCACTCTGTAGAAATGGCTTTGACCAAAGTATCCAATGATCTACTCAATGCAAAATCTTGTGGTCACTACTCTATCCTAATTCTCCTTGACCTTTCTGCGGCTTTTGACACTGTTGATCATCAACAGCTTCTTCTCTTCCTCTGCAATATCGGTCTACAAGATATTGCTCTTTCCTGGTGCTCCTCCTCCTCTTTCAGTGTTTCTTTCTCTGGCTCTGCTTATTCTCCCCAACTCCTCTCTGTTGGCATCCCCCAAGGTTCAGTCCTTGGCCCCCTATTGTTTTCCATCCCTTGGTAAACTTATTAGCTCCTTTGGCTTCCAATATCATTTCTATGCGGATGACACGCAAATTTATCTGTTCTCTCCTGATCTCTCCCCATCCCTCTTGACTAGTGTCTCAGACTGCCTCTCTGCTATTTCTAACTGGATGGCTACCCATTTCCTTAAACTCAACTTGACCAAAACAGAATTTCTGGTCTTTCCTCCCTCAAGTGTTGCTACTCCTGTGTCTCCCTCCCTCCAAGTCAATGGTGCTACCATCAGCTCCACCACGCAGGCTCGCTGCCTAGGTGCTCTCTTTGACTCCAACCTCTCCTTCACGCCTCATGTTCAGTCTATCACCAAATCCTGCCGCTTCCATCTTAAAAACATTGCACGCATCCGACCCTACTTAACGCCAGATGCGACTAAGGTGCTGGTGCATTCTACTGTCCTTTCTTGCCTTGACTACTGTAATCTGCTTCTCAGTGGTCTTACGTGCTCCTAACTTGCGTTGTTAGAGTCCATAATGAATGCGACGGCCAGGCTCATCTTCCTGTCCGCCTGCACCGCCCACGCCTCACCCTTCTGTCAGTCCCTACATTGGCTTCCTATAAGATCTAGGGCTCAATTTAAAATTCAGGTTCTTGATTTCAAATGTCTACATAATGCTGCTCCCACCTATCTAACCTCCCTAATACACAAGTATGTCCCGTCGAGGCCTTACGCTCTGATGAAGACTTACATCTATCTTCTGTCCGTACTCCCACCTCTGATGCTCTCCTTCAAGACTTCTCAAGGGTTGCACCGTTCCTAGGGAACTCACTTCCCTCTTCCGTTAGATGCTCACCCAGTCTCCACTCCTTCAAAAAATCATTAAAAACACACTTCTTCATAAAAGCGTATCAATTAAACTGTTAGTAGCTCCCAACTGATTCTTCCCTTGCAACTGTCATTAATCTAATACTAGCCTTACCTTTTATGCCACTTTATCCCACTCCCTGTAGCCTGTAAGCTCATTGAGCAGGGCCCTCAACCCTTCTGTTCCTGTGTGTCCAACTTGTCTGGTTACAACTATATGTCTGTTCGTCCACCCACTGTAAAGTGCTGCGGAATTTGTTGGCGCTATATAAATAATAACATAATAATAATAATAATGAAATGGCGGCTGACTATAAAATGGCTGCCGATTAAAAAATCGTACCTTACAATGAGATACATAGATCTAGCAAGAAGTCAACATAGTGATTAATAGAAAGGCTAAAACTCAATTTTTACACTAGAACATATAAATTAATCCATCATCAAACAAATGTAATGTATAGAAAGGTTTTAAAACCCCATCACCCTCCAAAATCGGGTAATTCTTTAACATAGTATTTCTGTTCTGTGTTACCTTCCATAGGCATTGATGCACTTTTGGGTCACTTAAATGCAGATATTGATTTCCATTAACCTCCTAGTTGCCAGAAAAGAAAAGAATAGATTAATATTTAACCCCTACGCTATCAAAATTATTTTGAGTATCTTGGAAAGTAATATTTCAATGTATTTTTTTAATTCCAGTATACATAATGCCTTATTTAATAGAAAACAAAATGAACATTAGGAATAGACTGCAGAATATATTTTGTTTTGTAAATGTATGTATAAATTATATGTTTCCACTTCCACTGCCATAGCATACCCCCCTCACATGCAAGCATGGACACGCACACAAATACAAATACATGCACACACACACACACACACACACTCTAAACCATTAGCACGCATACACAGAAACACATTGATGCATAGGCGTGACTATGGCAGGGTGAGTGTGACAGGGTAGGGAATGATTGTGACAGGGTTGGGGCAGTAAGTGTCACAGGTGAGGGTGTGAGTGTGACAGGATTAAGGGGTTGAGTGTTACATTGCTGGGGAATGAGTGATAGGGTCAGTGTGACAGGGTTAGGGGAAATGGTGAGTGTGACGGGGTTGCGGAATGATTGACAGGGTTCAACAGTGAGTGACAGGGTCAGAGTGATAGGGTGAGGAGGTGAGTGTGAGGGTTTGGGAGTGAGTGAGAGGGTTAGGGTGAGTGTGACACGGTTTGGGAGTGAGTGACGGGGTAACGGCAAGGGGTGAGTGTGACAGGGTTTGGGAGTGAGTGACAGGGTCAGGGTGAGTGTGACAGGGTTTGGGAGTGAGTGACAGGGTCAGGGTGAGTGTTACAGGGCTTGGGAGTGAGTGACAGGGTCAGGGTGAGTGTGACAGGATGAGAGGGTGAGTGTGGCAGGGTTTGGGAGTGAGTGACAGGGTCAGGGTGAGTGTGGCAGGGTTTGGGAGTGAGTGACAGGGTCAGTGTGTGGGGGTGATTGTTACAGGGTTTGGGAGTGAGTGACAGGGTCAGGGTGAGGGGGTGATTGTTACAGGGTTTGGGAGTGAGTGGGGATAACTAAGTATGTGTCTCAGTGTGTGCAGCCTCCCCACTCACACTGCAGTTTGCAGCAGTCCATCCCTAGCCCTATGAAGTGCCTGGGCTGCTGGATGCTCACCGAGCCTGCCTGTGTAGGAGAATGATGCAGTACCTGTCACAAGGATGCACACAGCATCCTGCATCCCCACTCACTGTGGGCTGAGCTACCCAACCCCACCTCCTCCTCCACACTGGGGGAACTCCTAGGCATGTGACTGCTGGAGTTAAGATGGCAGCTCTAATTGAACCTTTAGGTCTGGAAAGAGGTAAGAGATATTCTGCATTTTCTGTTGCTATCTGACCCTGGGCTTGTAACCAGTGGGAGGAGAGGACACATAAATGGCTGATACTGCTCCTTTCTCCTCTGATCCATGGCAGCAATTCTGCTACCCAGGATTTTTAGCAATATCCCTAATAACCTTGTCTATTCCCAAAATCCAGCTCTCTGTGTGATCTGCAGACATTACCCAGCCATTGCCTATCAGCACCCCCTATTTTATTCATCTACCCCCACTCCTTACAGCTAATCCATGTATTTCACACTTGGTACATCTCATATATACCTCTATTCTCATGTCTGCATAAACCATGTTCTATGCTTTAACCTTTATGTGCTTAAATTTCATTCTCCTGCTTAATTTGTGTGTGAATTAATGAGATTTTATTTAATTTAAGTCTATCATGCATTTTTATCCCTGCAGTGAGGACCACTTACCCCTTCCTTTCAAGAGATCTTTTGAGGGGGAAAAAAGGTTTCTAGGGCATCTCAAGGCTATTGCTATTATGCACCTTCAACTGAGTTAGAAATCACATTTTGTTGCATCACTAAACCTTTTTTATTTATCTTGTACCTGGGGGTGCACAATAATAAGCATTTATCTCATGCAGTATAATCAAAACCCACAGAGAGGGCGCAGGGTGTTATTAACCCTATAATAAACTGTGGCTATAATTAAATTCGCCTCTCAAAAGGTTTTGGCTTTGCTTGTTTGCTAGGAGATAAACAGTTCTTGGGAGAAAATGCGTACAAGTATTTTTTTTCCCCTTTAAATCTTGTATATACAGTTTTCACTATTTTCTGTATTATTATTATTTTTCTTAACTTTACACTTTCTGGATTTGATTTATTTTTTTATTATTTTTTATTTTTGAAGGCTGCGTTTGTATGTTAGTGGACACTTGGGACACTAAACGTTTGTGCATCTGTCGTGCGTTTTAGACAGATTCATCATTTTACCATTCACTTTCACTTTAATTTAAAAAAATAAAAATAAAAAAATAGACCCCGAGGAGAAGATTTTATAGCACCGTCAAATGAAGAAAATTGAAGTGAATCAGTAATTGTTGTATCTTTTTAATAAGAATATAAATAGGAAATATACCGAAAGAGAATCGAAAAATTACAATATAAAGACAGAATTTGAGTCCGCTAAAAACAAAACATAAGGAGGATATCTACGAATACATAATATCTCCCTAGGTTGGTCACCTAATGAAAATGCTACCCAGAGGCCATTTTGTTTAGAAATCAACTTCATCTTGACAGTTTTGCTGCGCAGGTCAAGTCTGCTTCGTCCTCTGCAATCATCACCTCTTGGTTTCACTCCATAAGAAAGAAATTTAGTGAATTGAAATCCAAATGGCAAACTGAAACCAAAATAGCCAAGCTGTTACTATAACAGAGTGCGCGAATGGTTTCAGATCTATTATTTTTCCTAAATGCTGCCATGTGGGTTTTAATTTGCTGCAACAAACTGCTTAATTCAGTAAACAACCCTGTCTGTGCGGAGGACAAGTGAGATCCAGATATTTCATAATATTCATGTATAACTGTCATAAATGTAACATCACTCAATGACGAGTGCTAATCTGTGCAGGGGCTTACAATTAGCCCCTGTCTCACCACCAACAAGACTTTCCTAATCCGGCTATTTTAGCCTTAAATTTTAAAGGAACACTATAGTCACCTAAATTACTTTAGCTAAATAAAGCAGTTTTAGTGTATAGATAATTTCCCTGCAATTTCACTGCTCAATTCTCTGCCATTTAGGAGTTAAATCACTTTGTTTCTGTTTATGCAGCCCTAGCCACACCTCCCCTGGCTATGATTGACAGAGCCTGCATGAAAAAAAAAACTGGTTTCACTTTCAAACAGATGTAATTTACCTTAAATAATTGTATCTCAATCTCTAAATTGAACTTTAATCACATACAGGAGGCTCTTGCAGGGTCTAGCAAGCTATTAACATAGCAGGGGATAAGAAAATCTTAATTAACCAGAACTTGCAATAAAGAAAGCCTAAATAGGGCTCTCTTTACAGGAAGTGTTTATGGAAGGCTGTGCAAGTCACATACAGGGAGGTGTGACTATGGTTCATAAACAAAGGGATTTAACTCCTAAATGGCAGAGGATTGAGGCTGCAGGGGCATGTTCTATACACCAAAACTGCTTCATTAAGCTAAAGTTGTTCAGGTGACTATAGTGTCCCTTTAAATCCTCTTCGAATACTCAATTGTTCACACCTTAGTTAATCACCCTTATATCATTCTAGGTGGTTGCTTAATACCAGGCCCTACAAAACTTAATATAAAAATAGATACACCGTGTGTATGAGCCACATAGAAAAGCACTGAGATACTTTAAGAGAACATGCCAAGCACCGTAACTACTACAGACTGGTTATGCTGCTATGAGTGCCCTGGCGCTCTCCCACAGTAAGTAGTCAAGGTATTTTACAATGGTCTGACAACATACTTTGGGTCTGCCTGGCACCGGCTGCTGCCACATCTGTATTCGAAGGCTCCTGCACTGAGCAATGCCAGGTGGTTGAGGGCTTCACTTATTGGTAAGAGCACTCGGCAAATGCCAGTTTTGTGAATAGGGAATCACTGATTGGCTGAGAGCGTCAGTTGACCGCTATAAGCCAATCAGCGTCGCCCTTGCCCAGCGGCACTCCGAGAACGGTTTAACCCAGGGCTCGACAAATCCCAGGTCGCCATGGCGACCAGGAAATTTGTCCTGGAACCTTGGATTTGTGAGCCTGTTTATTTGTGAGCAGAGGCGGGCAGTTGGATCACGGAGGGCTGAGGCAGGCTGCTGACTGAGGGAGGCGGCCGGCCGGCTCATTGAGACGTAAGGAAGGGAGACCGGCAGCTCATGGAGAGCTGTGTCACTCCGGCCTCCGGCTCACTAAATAGTGCACGAGAGTGAGCTGAGTACGGAGATGACAGCAGTATCACTGGACCCCTGGGAAAGCCTATCCACTCAAGCTCTCCAGAAGTAAGGAGCCTGGGTGGATTTAAATAAAGTAATTACTTGTGAGTGAGTGTGTCTGTGAGTCTGTTTGTGTGTGTATGTGTGTCTGTATGTCAGTGAGTGAGTGTGTCTGTAGGTCTGTGAGTGTTTGTGTGTGTGTGTGTGTGTGTGTGTCTGTATGTCTGTGAGTGTGTGTGTGCGAGCCTGTGTCTGTCTGTTGGTCTGTGAGTGTGTTTGTGTGTATGTCTATGTATGTGTGTCTGTCTGTGGGTGTGGGTGTGTCTGTATGTCTGAGTGTGTGTGTCTGTATGTCTGTATGTCTGTGAGTGTGTGTCTGTATGTCTTTGAGTGTGTGTCTGTATGTCTGTGAGTATTTTTACTCACCTTTTTTCCCCACGCCGTGCTGATGACACTGCGGCTAGCCCCACCTCAATGGCTGAGATTATCATGGCTTGACGATCTCAGCCAATCCAATGCTCCCCATAGGAAATCATTGGAAGGCTATTGCGCATGCACGGGAAAATGCCACTGCGCCAATTTAACTTCTCATAAAGGTGCATTGAATCAATGCATCTCTGTAGGGAACATTAACGTAGGTGCTGAACATTGTGAACCACTGACCCAGGAAGCACCTCTAGAGGCCTTCTGAGTGACTGTCACTAGAGGTGTTACCAGGCAGCAATGTACTTTTGTCTGAAAAGTCAGTATTTACATTGAAAAGCGTTCAGGGACAGGATATAGGCTTAAGAACAACTGCATTAAGCAGTAGTGGTTCTGGTGACTATAATGTCCCTTTAAGAATTGTATTTTTGGCGTTGATTTATCTGGCTCCTAACTTTTTTAGCTGGCTCCTAGATTCCAAGCAAATTTGTCAATCCCTGGTTTAACCCATTGAGGTAAGATAAGTTGTTTTGGTGCCTGGTGTGTCCCTTTAATAAAAACAAATACATTCAAAAACATGTGAATTGTGTTGATCTTACACCTAAAGTGCAACATATATGTCAAATGAGTCTAGCTGGGAAAAATGTTGAGTAAATATTTTTTCCAAGTGCATTTTTTCGCCTGAATTAAAGTGCTCTGTTAGCTAGTGAAGTCTCCTGACGGGGATATTACTGTTTGGGGTAAAGCAGAGGGAAGTTGTACTCAGCTCTTGCTGTGTCCCTGCAGACACCGCCATCTTTATTCTTCGGCTCCTGACATTTTATCCACACGTTACAGATGACAAGATTGATGTCTACAGAGGATCCCACAGGAGCCTTTAATAGATATGTCACGATGAGCAGGGTCTTCCTTACGTCTTGTCTCAGTTATATCCTGTATGTAAATTACTTGCTGTCAGACATCTCCATTTTATAATTGTAAAGTGCTGCGGGATGTGTTGACGCTATGTAAATAATAATAATAACAATAAGTGATGGCTCTGGAAAGTGATGAAATTTCACGTTGACAGAGCGGTTAAAAACCCTTTATACGCTTAACTCTTTCCAGCGTTACCTCTTTGCTATGGGGGATTCAAAGACGCTTTGCATGAGAACGTTCAGCTTCATTTCGTAGAGTTAAACTCTGTATAAATTCAGGAAGAACCTGCAGTGGCTGTCTGAGAGACTGTCACTAGAGAAAGTATTAACCCCGCAAGATCAACATTCCAATGTCTCTGAAACAGCAGTCTTTTAAATTACAGAGTTACGTGGACAGGGACACTGCACCCAGAACACTTCAATGAGATGCAGTGGTCTAGGTGCCTATAGTGTCCTTTTAAATGCTACAAGGCACATCATAAGTGCTTCTCCAATCCTTTGGTCCGCAAGGCGTGCATCCGCAAGGCGTGCTCAGGTGCAGCGCGTCCCTGCATGGCTGGCCTGAGTGCCACTCTCACCTCCTTCCTACGTGTCCGCGGTCCCCTCCGGCATTCGGTGTGACGCCGGCCACTGTAAATTGGGATCCGCCTTTTACGGCCCAGGCAGTTAAATGTTGCAAACATGTGTGCATCATCACACAGATGCACTTTCTGGCATCAGATGACAGCTACTAACCAGTAACTCCTATGGCTATATAAGGTTTATGTGTTTTCGTTTTTTTCTGTGTGCCCTGTCATGGGTACCCGAGAGCTGGTTATATTTATTGATTCTCTGTATTTTGACCCCGGTTTGTACCTAGACTATTCTAGTTTCTGTATCCCTTGATATCTGGCTTGTCTTAACATTTACATACTCTCTGACCTAGGCCTGTTCTGTACTATTCTATATTATTAGCGTTAAATCCGGCCATTCGAAAGCCTGACTTTAGTATTCTGATTATATTTTATTTTCTTACCTTAAGTTCTGCGTGTCGGGTATTAGTTAAATACTGACAAAGCCACAGACACTGTTTTTAAGTTTTCTACCCTAATTACAATAAAAGTGTAGACACCTGGCAGCCAGTGCAGGGATCTGGTGGTTTGTTGTATTTTGTAGTGCATCCTAAACCCGGATGAGTAGGCTGCCCTCCATGCTCCGCATGGTCTACTCTAGTAGTACAACAGACTGAAACAGGGAAGTGACATCACATTCCTGCCCCATTGAATGATTCATGTATTAACCTGGCTCACTCAGCAAATATGAAGAGAATGCCAACAGCAAAGGATATAAATACGGGTAATAATTTCTGCTGTCTTATTTCCCTTACATGTAATGAAGAGTTCGAAGGGTGGCAAAATATTTTAATGCATTTTTTGGGTTAGCTCTCTTTAATGGGTCCCTGGTGGATCGGGGGCAGCACTTGTCCTGGATCGGCAGTAGCACTGCTTTTTGTGAAATTTTAATATAGATAAGATTATACCTTAAGTCAAAGTAGTCCCCACTTTGTTTTACGATATCTTTTGACAGGATCTTTATGAGCATTTCATGAAGATTTTATCGCCATTGTATGCTCAAAATGTTTTAGTTTTATTTATTTTTTGGTGGGATGTGAAAGGGCCGCTTATAATGTCAGGTTTACAAACGTGTATTCCCGACGTTATAGTTTTAAACGTTTTTAGGTGCCCGGTCCATCTCTTCTCTTGATTTTACTCACCTTTTTTCCAGTGCGGCATTGGTCCTGCCACGGCTTGGTTCCCTCCTCTCCACTACCTTGTGTGAGATCATCAAATTTGACAATCTCAGCCCCTCCAATGCTTTTCCATAGTAATTGCGCTGCGCCAATCAGCATCTCCTCATGAAGAATCAATGCATCTCTATGTGGAGTGTTCAGTGTCTTCGTGCAGAGCGTGGAGACACTGATTGCCAGTGCTGCACACTGTGCAGCACTGACACAAGAATCACCTCTAGTGGCCTTCTAAGTGTCTCCCACCAGAGATATTACTAGGCAGCAAAGTAAACACTGCATTTTCTAATAAATGGCATTGTTTCCTTTAAAAAGCCTTCAGGGACAGGCTGAAAACACCACAGAACTTTAATTGGTACACTGGGACAGGATTACGAAATCAATTGCTTTGCTATGTGAAGCATTTGAATGCACATGTGGCGCTCACCCTAGATCAAAGGCGTGTATTCGGCCAGCAATGTGCTCCACCAATTAAATGAACATTAGCTGTGAGAGCCAACATTGATTTGGTTCCCATTGCAAAAGCACTTTTAGTGGCTGTCAGTAGACAGCCGCTAGATTCGTATTTAACCCTCCAGTAAGCAATGCTGTATCATTGCTGGGCTATGCACCCGGACCACTTCATTGAGATATTCATTGACATGAAATGGTCTGCTTGCCTTTAGTAGTTTTTTAAGTTGTAGTGGCTCTGGTGCTTAGAGCATTAATTAATTAAATATTACATGTCCTCTGCTGACTGCCCTGATTTAACATGAAAGAGCAATTGCCACTTCATAAAATTTTCTATATCCCAATAGCTTACTAAAATTTGTGTAGTACGTAAGAATGCTCACATTTAATTAGTTGATTCCCCTCCAGTAGAGTATAAATAATACACATGTAGGGCAGCTATTTTGCTGAACTTTCACATGAATAAGTAATTTATAGTGTTATGTGAAACGATCTAACTGAAAATAGGTGGTTTATACCTTAAATTTATACGCCTGTTTGCACATGGTCCTGACATTTTCTACAACCAACTTTTCATGTTGCAACCACTTAACTCCTTGTCCCCTTATTGTACAGCGCTGTGTGGAACATGTTATTGCTTTATTAGTAATAATAATAATAAGTGGAAGCTGACAGACAAATAAAATAAAGAACGGCATAGGCCTTCCTTTATCAGTCTTTGAATAAACATATGTATTGTATAAATACTCTTCCACTCGCCACATGTCCGCAGCCCCCACAGGCATTAGGTGTGACGTCCGCCACTGTGAGTTGGGACCCTTTTATGGCCCCGCCTACCTGGTTCAGTTAACTGATGTGAAAGTACACGTCATCACATTACATGTCAGCTACTAACCAGTAACAGCTCTCCTAGGGCTATATGAGCTTGTTTTTTTTCTCTGTGCCCTGTTTACCTCTGTGGACCCCGAGAGCTTGCTATATTGATTGATTCTCTGTATTTTGACCCCTGCTTGTACCTTGACTATTCTGCTTTCTGTATTCCTTAATATCATGTAGACAGTCAATTAAAATAAAGAATGTCATAGGCCTATGTCAGTCTTTGAGTAAACATATGTTTTGTATTAATACTCTTCCTCTTGCCTGTTAGGTGGCCTGATGGGTATAATTACACATTGGTGGTAAATCCGAAGGGACTCTGCTTTACTATCAATGTTCCAGTCTACATTTACATAGTATACATACTTTCTTTTTCAATAATTCATGACCCCTAGATGTGTCTCGTGCCATTGAGTTGCTGGAGCGGCTGCAGCGAAGCGGAGAAGTGCCGCCTCAGAAACTTCAAGCTCTCCAGCGAGTTCTACAAAGCAAGTTCTGCTCTGCCATACGGGAGGTGAGTACCTACTTTATAGTCTCCATGTCCCTGGACCACAAGGAAAAAAAACACCAGAATCACTATCTTTGTGGCTAATGAGAGAAAGCTAGTGGGGCTGGGTACGTCAAAGATAACACTTTGCTAGGCTTGGGACCATTAACCACTTCCTTTATCAGCTCGGGAAGATCTATGGTGTAGATAAGATCCTGTTTACCTTGTGGTGATTCTATCCATGATAGCCAGCAGCGAAGAGTGAATTGCAAAATGAGATTTACCTATATGTTTTTTTTAACATTTCTATATTTATTGTACATTACCAAACTTTGTTGCCTCTGCAGTGAGCTCTTCCCATACCAGCCAATCATTATGCTCGCAACATGCTTTCTATAGCAGTGATGAGTTTATCTAATAAAACCAGTGCAGAGCAGTGCATTATAGGTAAAGCAGAGGTTGCTGGGAGTTGTTCATATGTCAATGTTCTGCTATAGAATGCTGGCAGCCACTAGAGGTGCTTCCAGGAGTTTACTGGATTTTAGGGTCTCTAGGTAATGCTGGAAGTCCACACCCTCTGCATGAGGACATCCAGTGTCAGTAAAATCCCCATAGGAAAGCATTGAGTCAGTGCTTTCCTATGTGGAGGGCCTAATCCACTTGCCGCTCTTTCCACACGTGCTTAGGGTCCCTCTGTCTATATTTATTGTACATTACCAAACTTTGTTGCCTCTGCAGTGAGCTCTTCCCATACCAGCCAATCATTATGCTCGCAACATGCTTTCTATAGCAGTGATGAGTTTATCTAATAAAACCAGTGCAGAGCAGTGCATTATAGGTAAAGCAGAGGTTGCTGGGAGTTGTTCATATGTCAATGTTCTGCTATAGAATGCTGGCAGCCACTAGAGGTGCTTCCAGGAGTTTACTGGATTTTAGGGTCTCTAGGTAATGCTGGAAGTCCACACCCTCTGCATGAGGACATCCAGTGTCAGTAAAATCCCCATAGGAAAGCATTGAGTCAGTGCTTTCCTATGTGGAGGGCCTAATCCACTTGCCGCTCTTTCCACACGTGCTTAGGGTCCCTCTGTCGGATGACATTGTGGGAGGTGAAGCACCGACCCAACGCCAATGGAGATCAGTGCTGGAATCGGGTGAGTAAATTAAGGGTTTTGGGGGTTGTGGGGGAAGGGCGCAAGGGAGGTGGGACCAGAGGGTCCTATAGTGTTAGGAATACAGATTTTTGTACATAACACTATGGAATCCTTTTAAAGTTTATTAAAAACTATAATGTTAAAAACCCTTATCACACTTACCTGATGAAGCACTGAGGTCCCTCAGGCGCTGGGTCGGACTTCTCCTCAGTCATCAACCAATGGGGAAACCTTTGTGTGCCCATTAGGTCTTCCCTGTAGGAAACCACTGAATCAGTCCTTTCCAATCGGGATTTAGAAGACTCTGGACGTCCTCAAGAAAATCAAACTCTGTGAAAGGCCAGGAAGTGCCTCTGGTGGCTGTCTGGTAGACAGCTACTAGAGGCAGGTTTAAAGCAACACTGTACTCAGTATAACAACTTTATCTAGATAAAGTTGTTATAGTGCCAACAGTTGTTCCCTCCTCCCTAGTGGCCCTAAATTTTAATATCTTGCTAATTAGAATGCTTGAAAGTGCGGCTTCAAGTCACGCCTCCAAGCCCTCCGGGACTGTGCTTCTTGGCTGTCATACCGTAACGTAACGTGATGTCACGCATGTATGCACAGTGCTGTCATAGTCTTCCATAGAGAATAATTACATGCAATGATTCTGTATGATGGAATCGTAGGCACATTGCGGTAAGCGCCACGCATGTGCCTACAGTCCTCAATGATGAGCATTGGATTGAGCATGCATCCAGAATGATATCACGCTAGGAGGAACCCGCAACAGCACTGAGGGAGACTCAACGCTGGAAAAAAGTGAGCAAATTCTTTTTTAAAAGTTTTAATGTTGTTTTGTTTTTGTTTTGTCATATTTTTTTGCAAGTTGAGGGCAGCACTAATATTAAGTAGGGACATGGTATGTATTCCTAACCCTGCAGTGTAAAACTGCAATGTTTGCAGTCACAGGGCTAAAATAAGAGGGGCCACTGCATCTAGACTAATTCAATGAGATTACATGGTCCGGGTGCCGATAGTGTCCCTTTAATGTACAAAAAGCTAATAGATTTCACAAAGCCAGCCTGCATTCTGGACCACTTGGTCATTGCCAAATGGATCCATTGCTCAAATGTTCAACAGCCCTGAGTACTGCAAGTTTTCTGATACCTGTTGCTGGTTGGACTGATAAACTTCACCAATTTGTCATTTTTATTTTGCCAATCGTCCTATCTTCTGTGTGCCAGATAAATGATGAAAATAAAGACTGTTTTAAAAAAGGGACGACATAAATGCAGACTTTTACAATATTCATATAAGACACCACATACAGGGAGACAGACAAAGGGTAACTCTGTTAAAGACATTTAGGTTGTTATACACATATACACTGTGATATATTTATATCTGTGTAAATAGAATGTTCATAGGTTGTATTCTCCCTCTACCCTTCCTTGATTCGTGATTGCAGGTATATGAGCAGCTGTACGATACTTTGGACATCACAGGAAGTGCAGAAATAAGGGCTCACGCAACTGCCAGGGTAAGAGATCGGCAGATCAAAAGACATAAATGTATTCTTACATATAGAGAGCAATGTGATAATAAAACTAATAATGTGATTATAAAAATAATAATAATGTAATTAAAGGGACACTGTAGTAACCAAAAACACTACAGCTTAATGTAGTGGCACTGGTGTCTATTGCCTGGGTTGTTACTGTGAACACTGCCTTCTCATAGATGCCCAACCACTCATAGCAAGAGAACGACAGGTTATTTAAACGTTAAGCAGTTTGCATTCCCTCCAGGCTACTGTTGCAGCGTTTGCAGCCAGTGAAGGACATGCTCATCCAAGAGTTGTGGAGCTGCCAAAAACCGATGAGGGTCTGGGGTTCAACATCATGGGAGGAAAAGAGCAAAATTCCCCAATATACATTTCACGCATCATTCCTGGAGGAGTGGCAGACCGTCACGGAGGACTTAAGCGTGGGGATCAGCTTCTCTCTGTCAATGGGGTGGTGAGTCACTCCGTTTTCCAAGCGTTACAGTATTTGTGCAGATGAGAGTAACAGGAAAGTGTATCTCTGCTGGTAACAAAATTAACAAATTCAGGTTACACAGAAAAAGACTTACCCTAAAGCTGATTTTTAGTGTTTAAAAAGCAAATGGGTGATGTTTAATCCACACATTGTCTGACGGGCAATGCCACAATGTATATGGTCTTCTGGAATACCAACTGTCATGCCTAGAATGCCCATTAGGATGGGTGGCTGAAATGCACACGTATACTGACATTCCACAAATACACTGCTGCATTCACACACTGATCCTACACACCAATGCTCACCTTCAGTGACACACGCACACTTTGTCACTCCAAGCAAACACTTGTTAAAATCTGACACTTTACATAAATACAGCCCTTCATTCACACATACCTCGCTGCATTGGGACACTTACACTCATACACACACTCCTGCGTTCATACAATGATCCTCCACACATGTACACAAACTAACACTCCAGACAAATACAATCCTGCAATTACAAACACTACAGTGCAAAATTAATGCCTACCATTAAGTTCATTACTACATTAAGACAAAAATAAAATAAAATAAATGTTTTAAATTAATTTTTTATTAACCAATAATTTTTCATTTGTGTAGTCTAAAGGCAGTTTAAAAGGCCTGTCCCTGGTACCCGGTTTTCCTCCTAGTAGTTTTCTTCTATGTTCCTTCCATTCTACTTGGCTAGAATAACCATGATAACGTGTACATTTACAGTAAGAGTAGCAGGAAGAGGATGGCTCAAACCTTTCTGCGATATGGCCTTCCTTTCCAGTTGGGGGAAGATATAGCCCACAATATATTGTTTCTAATGGACTTTGACTACAGTAATATGAAAATTTGAGTCCCACTACAACTTATTTTTAAATATTGTTTATGTATGCTAATACAGTATAATCTCCCACAATGCAGAGTGTGGAAGGAGAGCAGCATGAAAAAGCAGTTGAACTCCTTAAAGCGGCACAGGGAACAGTGAAGCTGGTCGTACGTTACACCCCGAAGGTTCTAGAGGAGATGGAAGCAAGGTTTGAGAAGATGCGAACTGCACGCCGTCGACAGCAGCAGAACAGCTACACGTAAGGAAATAAAGCTTGTATTCTTTGTTGATTTCACATAGTGAGGTATCTCATTAATATAAATTGGTTTACTAAGAGAGAGAGTGTCAGGTTGTTAAATACAGGGTGGGGGGTAACCACACATAGAAAGGCTAAACATGAATATGAAGGGGAAGTAGTGCTAAGAAACAGTATCAACTCTAAACAAACCCTTCATTAAAGAAAGCAACAAAAATAAAGTAAAACTTAACTTTTATCGAAATCTATTAATTAAATAAAGTAAGACTAAACTAGATAGGCTATAACGTTTCAAGACTAAAATCTTAGTGGGATAATAAATCCAATGTCAGATCCTCTGTGAAATCGAAGCTTAGGTATTAGATATATAGTAACTTCTTAACCATATCTTGTTGGCGAGAAGAGAGCATTCAAATGTAACTTCTAACTGACCCATACACAAAGACTGAGCCACACACTCACAGACTGAGCCACACACTCACAGACTGACCCATACACACACACAGATCACACACACTGACTCACACTTACCAGCAGCTGCCTGGGTGCCTCATTCCCCCCAGGCAATGCTGAGCTTCCTCTCCCTGTCTCTCCCCTGCGCTCCTCTCTGTGACCCAGCATGAAGTTCCTGCCAGCACAGCGCCCCCTTTGGCCGCACGGTGGAATTCTTCAAAGAATTCCACCCACCTCTGTGCACTGATGCTGCAGCTTGTGTAGGGAGACTTATTGCTCCTTGTTTTAATTTCAATTGGGAGGATACAAGGTGGGACACTGCCTGATGTAGGGGGGCCATGACCTCCTCTGTCCCACCTAGTGACTCCTCTGCCAACAGCTCTTCTTCAAACGCAACAGCTGAACATAGCAGAAGTTGATATGAGCTTTAGGACACCTTTTTCTTTTTTTATTTATATTCTTTATTTAAAAGACAGGAAACGTTGTATTACAAATTTCCTGAGCACATAAGACGCTTATACAAATTCCTGTAGTAAAAATGAGAACAGTGAAATAAAGCAAATCCAATATGACTGGAGCTTATACAACAGACAATAAAACATGCACCCCTATGGTGTGAGTAATTGCAATCTTTGTATCATCGTATGTACCTGTCATTACTGTTACACATTGGTAGGTGTAACTTATTCCAGGAGAGCGTATCAGGAACAGCTCTGAAAAGAGCTAAGTGATTAGAGTTCAGGGGAGTATACAAAGTATAGCAATCCCCAGTGTGATTATAGCAGTTCCCCTCCAATCACTAGACAAGACTACGTGTTGAGGGTCAAACAGGAACAGAATGCACTGAGGCTTTATTGCTTCTTTTATGCAGGTTTTCCCCCAAGGTTACCACCCACGTGGACCTTGTGGGATACAGGACATGCAGTTACAATAGCCAATCAAAACATTACAGTACAGTCAGACACTCCCAGCCAAGACACATAAACCCTCCCCTCTGCCTGTAATATGATTACTAAACACAATGGTCTAACTTAAATATCACACGCAGGAAAATATACAGTTTTACACAATATTCATACCTTCCAAACCATACATGCAATTCACATAAGTTACATATTCTGAACCAGCATAAGCAGTATACAAACATATTCAAACATCATACTATTTGGTCCAGTGGTTCAAAAGATAGGTGGGAGTCCTATTTGACCGACCGCAAGCATGGCTTTCCTGCCCAAAAGAGTTCCATAGATTTGGGCTGTGCGTCGGTCTATTTTTACATAGAAAACGACTAAGTCCCATTCGAATGCACGAATGGCGCCGTTCATGCAAATAGCCCAGTTTAACATGGCGTTTGAATCGTCGAACGCACTTCGATTTCCGTTGAAGTGGAGGAGAATGTAAGGTTCAGTGGTGTTCGTGCCGTTGTGTAGCCATTTTTAATTCCATGAGTTCGACAGCAAAACACAGCTGACCTTGTTCGACTAAACAAGATGGTCGCCGCCACGTATTCGACTATACGAACGGCAGCCACCCAGTGTTCGACAATTAACCTGCAGTTAACCACCAGCCTGGAAGGTAAATTGGCGGCACACTCAACTTGTGTGTGGTCCGCCTGTTCGGTAAGTCCCATTTACCAAACCATATGGGAAAAGGACACGAACAAAGTATTTTCACAGTCTTAAAGGGACGTGGTTCCAAAAAGTCTTAATATGCCCATATACTGTTTTTAAAGGGCCATACACCCCAGGGCCATAGTCACAGGGCAAGAAACTGGCACGTAGGCCTCTCCAGGACAAAGTGGCGAAGGGCACTTTGTCACAGTAAGATACAGAGCCTGTCTTGCAAATGAAAGCAGGAGATCCCATAGTAATTATTTATAGTATAGAGAGGGAAAAAGAGGGGGGGTGGACAGGGGTACCACAAGTTACCAAATCGGAACCTCTCTCATGACTTATACCATAGTAAGGTCACCACTCCTCCCACCTGGCCCAAACCATCCTATATGTGGCCACCCCGCTCCTCACTGCTGCTGTGAGCTGATCCATTAGTTTATTATTGTCTATCGTGGATTTGACAATGGAACGCCCTGCTTTTTCCAGTTGGCAGACAGTGCTCTTGCAGAAGCCAAAGTGTCTGCTCATGTCTGGTTAACTCTTCCACTGAACTAAACAAGAGAAAGGACCATGGGTCCATCTCCATCGGTCTTGAACAACGTATCCAGTAGCCCTTTGATCTGACACCAAAACCTCACCCACTATGGGACATTCCCACCACATGTGGACATACTTGAGCCCACAACCCCTTCACCACAAATCATCTGGCAGAACTGCTTTTTAATTACATCTCACCCCCAACATTTGTTATTTTCTTAAAGTCATCATCCTGTTCATGCTATTATTGCATTTTCTTTCTGAGCCATCCTCCTGCTTGCATACTATCCATATCACTGCAGAGGAGCCTCTTCCACCATAGCTCCATTGTATTCTTGGCTGATGTAATAGCCAATACATGTATTGATTAACAGATAAGCATTGATGAATATCACTTCCATCAGAAATGGAGAGAGCAGCAGCAGATGACAAGTCCACATGCTTTGTAAACAGCCCCCCAAACACCCACATGGTGTGAGGAGCACTGGGGTAAAGTCCAGCTGGGAAGCTTTTCTAAACACAATTGCACTGTGCTTTGCTGCTGAGATGACACACACCCTTTACAGGTAGACATGTGACCCGTGTCTCTGATTCTGTCATGGATATGTCCACCCGCCTGCACTTTGTCCCCCTCTTCTGATTGGCGCCCTGCTAAACTTGGCAGATCTAAACTGCATTGAGTCACCCTATTCCCAAGTAAAGCTGTTTGCTTCTCAAAGCTTTCAGCAGGGCCTACTACGAAGAATCACATGCACTGCATCTCAGCTACATACACAGATTCTTGTGGAAGATATATTTGTTTTTTCCACTATAAATTCTGGAATAAAAAGCATAATTATTAAAAAATGTCTGTCTAACAAAATGCTTTATAAGCCCTTGCCTGTAAAGTAGCTCAGAACATTTTTTTCATGGTTGGTGTAGTTTAAATATATATTTATCTTTAGCTATTAAGCCCCCTTTTGCTACCTTGCATCTCTTAAATCTCCTATCTCCTCTGTTGGGACAAGAAGGGTGGGGGATATGACGCTCACAGCAAGCCAAGAGCTGCTTTCTCAGATCTGGTATAGGATAATAATGCACCTCTAGCATTGCCTCGCTACACAGAATGATACGTAAGAGGTGGGTTTTCCCCTCTCGCCTCCCATTTGGGGACGGACAACTGCCTCCCCCAATGGAACCCCACTTATTCCTACTTCGGTATAGTTACTGTTACACCTTTGTTATTTTAGCTTCAGTTTTACCATTTGGATTGAACTCACTAAAACTCACAATTTTCTTGTAATGTTACATACACTATTGTAACATTGCATCCAAAGAATTTAACTGTTAACCTTCACATTCTAATCATGAAATACATTCTTTACTATATGGAAACAGAGATCCCCCCCAGGAATTTGCTTCAGAGATTTTAGTAAATATGGTGGATGCTGGTATTCAACTATATAGACACGTGTGGAAGGTAAAATCTTGTTACCTTTCATACAATTAGACATGGCTTACTAGGGAAGAGTACAACTCGTAGCGTACCACTCTTAGTTGGTGTCCTTTGTTCCTTCCACCCGCAGCCCTTTTCTCGTCTGTACTTTCATATAAAAGTTGAAAATGATGGTTGCTGCATTTTACAGTTTTGTCCCCGAAATGTTAACAGGATTATTCACCAAAGTGAGAAGTCAAGGTGAAAGTAAAGTAAATTCAAATTTAAGGCTATGGTATCCGAACTAGAAGCATAGTTTTATTTAATTTTTCTAGTTTGGCTATTTTGGTTTTAGATTTGAAATTCACTTTGAATTCTAACTTTAGTGAATTATACTGCAGATGTTAATTCTTTCCTGTAAATACAATGTATTTTTTTAATTTGCTTTCTTTTTAATTGGCAGATCTCTTGAATCTCGAGGATGATGAGTCTCACTGATGACTGGGACCAAGAAGGTTCTCCTGCTGCAGACCCTTTGTATTTATTGACACAAACTGTTCCCATCTCTCTGATCTGTGTACAGTATTTATTTCAGTTGTCTCTCTGTATGGTGCACTGCAGCTATGTGTGAGGAAATATCTCAGCGGCTTCTAGGCAAAATATCACGCTACTCCTGAAACACACCAAAATAATACAAATGAGCTATTTGTCTGTCTATGCACCCATTCATATTTCCATACCTCTCTCTGCCTCCCCATCTCTCTCTATTTCTACTTTGACCCCTCTATCCATCATTCTCACAGAGTTATTCAGTAAAGTGGAGATTGCCTTGAATTTAAAGTGAATTTTAAAATCTAGGCCAAAACAGACAAATGATTACAATTCTACAAGTCAATTCAGATTTCAGTTTGGCTATTTTGGCCTTCTGTTTACAATTCACTTTGAATTCCTGGAAATTATCAGTTTAGTGAATAGCCCTCCTAAGGCCACCTCCTCTACCTATCTGTGTGTCTCCTTGTTCATCCGCCTATCTCTATATTGCTTTCAAATATTATCTGTTCGTTGCGTTTGCTTATTTAGTCCATGATGCCTTGGGAATATACCATATATCATACAAAGGAAAGCCAGAAACTAAATGAGGTTAATATTATAGACGTTACGGATGTATATAAGCTCTTCTGAAATTCTGGATACCTGTTACCTATACAGTATGTAAACCTTTGGATACCGGCATACTATACATGTATGTAAAACCCAGTCCTGATTGTGAGAGTGATTTTGTACTATGTATTTCTGTGTATATCTTGTTGATCATATTATGGTTGGTACACTTAATTTTGTTCTTTGTATAAAGAGCTGTATAGTTTAAAGGGTCACTCTAAGCACTATAACCAGTACAGTAAGTGCGAGTGATTATGGTGCTCTTTGAAGTTGGTAGCACACTTTATGTTTTATCTTGGTATGACAACATTTTTAAGAGACCTGTAGACCGGTAACGTTTGACATAAAGCACTGTATCATCTGTGTTTTAGCATAATAAAACCCTTTATGATAATCTGGTGATATGTTGTTTTATTTCATTTTTTTGTCTCAGTTTTTTCCCAACTGAATATTTTTTTTAAGTGTGGTCTTTTTCTTTATTTGAGGCTACATATGAATCAGTCAAACTGATAATGAACGTGCAGTACTTAAGCCTCTTCCTTTTTTCTCACAACTGACTAGCAAGGCTAAAGTGTGAGTTGTCAGGATTACAAAGTGAACTGAACGCGATATTCAGAATTTAGCCCAAATAGCAAAATTTAAAAAAACCTAGCTACTCTATAATAGTCAGCTTTGTGCTTAAAGGAACACTATAGGGTTAGGGACACAAACATATATTCCTGACACTATAGTGTTAAAACCCAATCAAGCCCCACTGCCTCCCACCACCTTGCCTCTTTAAATATAGCAAAATCTTACCTTTTTCCAAACTTCTGCTGGCTCTGCCCTTGAACTGCGTGCTTGGCTGACATCATCAGAAGTCTTGTTCTGAGCCAATCACAATACTTTCCCATAGGATTGGCTGAGACTGTCAAGGAGACAGATCGGGGTAGAGCCAGAACAAGCTAAACACAGCCCTGGCCAATCAGCATCTCTTCATAGAGTTGCATTGAATTAATGCATCTCTATGAGGAAAGTTCATTGTCTACATGCAGAGTGTGGAGACACTGAATATCAGTCACACTGTGCAGCACTGCCCCAGGAAGCATCACTAGCAGCCAGCTGAGGAATGACCAGTGGAATTATCCCTAGGTTGTAATGTAAACACTGCATTTTCTCTGAAAAGACAGTGTTTACAACAAAAAGCTTAAAGGGAATGATTCTACTCTTAGGAACAAATACAATAAGCTGTAGTTGTTCTGGTGACTATAGCGTCCCTTTAAAATTTGTAAACCAGTTTAAATTCACTTTGAGCTCATGACAATTCACATTGTAGTTGATAACATAGTCAGGGTTATTTACTGAACTCCAAATTGTATGAAACTGAAATGGCAGCACTTAGGAAACTTTAAATAATATGGAGAAATACTTGATTTCAGCTTTAGTCACAGCTCAGTTCTTATAGTCTTAAAGGACCACTATAGTGCCAGGAAAACATACTCGTTTTCCTGGCACTATAGTGCCCTGAGGGTGCCCCCACCCTCAGGGTCCCCCTCCCGCCCGGCTCTGGAAAGGGGAAAAAACTTACCTTTTTCCAGCGCTGGGCAGAGAGCTCTCCTCCTCCGAACCTCCTCTTCTCCTCCCCGTCGGCTGAATGCGCAGGCGCGGCAAGAGCTGCGCGCGCATTCAGCCGGTCACATAGGAAAGCATTCATAATGCTTTCCTATGGACGCTGGCATGCTCTCACTGTGAAAATCACAGTGAGAAGCACGCAAGCGCCTCTAGCGGCTGTCAATGAGACAGCCGCTAGAGGAAATAGGGGAAGGCTTAACCCATTCATAAACATAGCAGTTTCTCTGAAACTGCTATGTTTATGAAAAAATGGGTTAACCCTAGCTGGACCTGGCACCCAGACCACTTCATTAAGCTGAAGTGGTCTGGGTGCCTAGAGTGGTCCTTTAATCTTGCTATTCAAACGTCACTTTTTCAGGGTTTAGTGAATACAAATAACTCTGTGTCTGTGTAGCATAATGGTTTTCTGGCCTTAGTTATTAAATAAGTTACACAACAGAGGCAGCCTAGTAAATTCTTATACCAGGAAGCAAAGCCTTGGTTTTTAATAATCCTTACATTTACACAACCATAATAATAAAACATTCACGCATATTCAAAAATACATTTTAAAAAGAATACAAATAAACAAGGAAACAAAACAACATACACCCAGATAAAGACATTTAGGTACTGGTCCCTTACTTCCCCCACCATATTCGCCAAGTTCACAATGCTAGCGATATACAGTGAGGGAAAAAAGTATTTGATCCCCTGCTGATTTTGAACGTTTGTCCACTGACAAAGAAATTATCATTCTATAATTTTAATGGAAGGTGTATTTTAACAGTGAGAGAAAAAATAAATCTAGAAACATGCATGTCAAAAAAGTTATAAATTGATTTGTATGTCAATGAGTGAAATAAGTATTTGACCCCTTCAACTTAGTACTTGGTGGCAAAATCCTTGCTGGCAATCACAGAGGTCAGACGTTTCTTGTAGTTGGCCACCAGGTTTGCACACATCTCAGGAGGGATTTTGTCCTATTCCTTTTTGCAGATCCTCTCCAAGTAATTAAGGTTTTTGGCGCTGACATTTGGCAGCTCCCTCCACAGATATTCTATGAGATTAAGGTCTGGAGACTGACTAGGCCACTCGTGGACCTTAACCCCTTCAGGACGGAGTCAATAGTACACGTTCTGATCAAAACAAAGCATAAACAAAAACTTTAATTTGCGGGAGACTTCACTAAACACAAATATTAGTGTTTTAAAACAGTAAAACATATTAGAACAATAATATAGTCCATAAAAGTGCAGTTCGTTTGTAAAAAAAAATGCAAAAAACGTCACTTTTACTTAAAATATCATCGTTGTAATACAGTTTACCAGTTTGAAACACCAATATTTGAGTTCAGCGAAGTCTCCCAAGTAAAACAGTACCCCCTATGTACAGGTTTTATGGTGTCTTGGAGAAATATAGTGCTTGTTAATGATCTTAAGGCAGCTGGGACCAGAGTCACCAAGAAAACAATTGGTAACACACTACGCCGTGAAGGACTGAAATCCTGCAGTGTCCGTAAGGTCCCCCTGCTTAAGAAAGCACATGTACAGGCCCGTCTGAAGTTTGCCAATGAACATCTGAAGGATTCAGAGGAGAACTGAGTGAAAGTGTTGTGGTCAGATGAGACAAAAAATCGAGCTCTTTGGCATCAACTCAACTCGCCGTGTTTGGAGGAGGAATGCTGCTTATAACCCCAAGAACACCATCACCACCGTCAAACATGGAGGTGGAAACATTATGCTTTGGTGGTGTTTTTCTGATGTGGTGCAGTTGTCCATGGCCCCCGGGAGCCTCATTTGCCAGGGGTTCTATGTCGCCGCAAGGGCTTTAAAGCCGGGATGGGTTAATGTGCTTCTTCTTGAGTCACTCCTTTGTTGCCTTGGCTGTGTGTTTTGGGTCATTGTCGTGCTGGAATACCCATCCACGACCCATTTTCAATTCCCTGGCTGAGCGAACGAGTTTCTCACCCATGATTTGACGGTACATCGTCCCTCTGATGCGGTGCAGTTGTCCTGTCCCCTTAGCACAGGAGTCAATAGTACAATAGTCAATAGTTGTCCTGTCCCCTCGCACCAATTGTTGTCACCTTCTCACCAAGCTTCTTGATGATGGTCTTGTAGCCCATTCCAGCCTTGTGTAGGTCTACAATCTTGTCCCTGACATCCTTGTACAGCTCCTTAGTCTTGGCCATGGTGGAGAGTTTGGAATCTGATTGATTGATTGCTTCTGTGGACTGGTGTCTTTTATACAGGTAACAGGCTGAGATTAGGAGCACTCCCTTTAAGAGAGTACTCCTAATCTCAGCTCTTTACCTGTATAAAAGACACCTAGGAGCCAGAAATCCTGCTGATTGATAGGGTATCAAATACTGATTTCACTCATTGACATGCAAATCAATTTATAACCTTTTTGACATGTGGTTTCCTGGATTTTTTTTTTTTTTATTATGTTTCTCACTGTTAAAATACACCTACCATTAAAATTATAGACTGATAATTTCTTTGTCAGTGGGCAAACATTAAAAATCAGCATGGGATCAAATACTTTTTTACCTCACTGTAAGGCCGTTTTAATGAAACTTAGTGTATATTCCAAGCAGCAACGTTTCAACCTCACAATGAGGTCTTCATCAGGCTTGATCAAGTTTCTTTAAAACTGCTTTATTATACCCCTGAGTCCTATCCCAGGACCTTTTGTACTTTGGATTGTCCTAGAGGGGTATGCCAGCCCTTGTGTGCATTTGCACCTTGTTGTTATAGGAAGTGTGCGGATTCCTATCTTCATAATAAAAACACAGATAGCGACATAAACACAAGGGAATGCTTTGGTGGGCAATGCTAGAGTAAATACTACCGGGGGTTAATCGCCATTGTGTGAAGTTCGAGCTGAGCGGTTAGCTTTTAATTTACTTATTAACATTTACCGGTAATTAACTTGTAATGACCATACCTGCCAACATTACTTGCCCACCATCTGTCTTTGAGGTAGTCAGGCCAGGGAAAGGACAGCCCAATGGGCATATCTGCCCATGAAACTAGGGCATAAAGTGGGTGGATCCACCCCTAAATTTGGTGACCAGGCTGATAGCCCCCGCACATCCTCAAGGTAGATAATGCTCGAAGCAAGGTTGATTGGCTTATACAGTATGGTCAACTTGTTGTTAATTATAACATGACTCAGACATTTTAAGATGAAGTATTGATACAGCACTGAAGTGTTTAGAAGTATTCAAAAGTGCTACTTTGCAATCCATTGTGATACTAATGCACAATAAGCCGCCAACTAGATCTCAAGGCACTATATCACAGATTGATAAATAAGCATTCACGCTTAGTGAGTTTGTACAGTTCCAATAGCTGTAGGGTTCTACAATTGTGAACTCACAGGACTCTGAATTTTTGTAAAGCTAACAAACCAGCACTTAGCACAACAATGGCGCATGCAGTACCATTAAAGCTATGTTCAAATGATGCTTGATATTCCAGCTTGCCATTATAATGGCGCCATCATTAATGTTACTGGCATTCTTGTGTTCACCACAGATTGCACTTAATCTACAAATTAATCAACTACCAAACCATAAAATAGTAAAAAAGAAAATACTTTAAGAAAATTAGCAGTTATTGTAATTTTATTATATACAACATTGTTTTGTGAGACTTGTAAAAGGGTTATAATACTTCTTATAGCTTATTTTTTTCTCTCTCCTTGAGATAAGTAATGTTTTACTCTGCATGATACTCTGTTTGAGAACCCTCATGTAGACTATGTTTAGCTGCAAAAGACTATAATATCATACACCCATCATC